CTCCTAAAGGACAACAAATATTCCTTGAACTATTTATAGGCTTTTCTGTTTTTTGTCGTTGGCTTTTTGTTGTTGTTCTTGTTGCTGCTGGTGGTATTGTTTTCTTTTCTATTGCTGCTTTGTTTCGCTTGGTCTTGTGTTTGTGCATATTGTTGAGTCTGCATGTCTATCTGGATGGGATAGACGGCATAAACAAGCTGGAAGAGAGAACAATGGGACAATAGTTCTGCAGGACATGGGAGAGGAGGAGGCAGGGGAAGGAAGAGGTTGCTAACAAACCTAGGGACAAGGGAACAACAAGTGACTGAAAATCGATGGTGAGGAGGGTGTAGGAGGTCTGGTAGGGCTTGATCAAGAGCAATGTAACCAAGAGGAATTACTGAAACCCAAATGAAGACTGAACATGATAGTGGGACAAGAGGAAAGTAAAAAGTAATAGAGGAAAGAACTAGGACACAAAGGGGATTTATAGACCTCTAAATACAGGCATGTATATATGTAAATATATTTATATATGATGATGGGGGAAATATATATATATTTATATATGATGATGGGGAAATATATATATATATATAGTTATATATATATATATAGTGTTAAGGAAGTAGATGGACATTGAGACTCTACTCAAGTACTCCCTCAACACAAGCACACTTAGTTCTAATAATCTGGCATTCTGAGAGGCTCACCTTCCTGACACAATCGCTGAAGACAAAGAGGGTGCATAAGCAAATTGGTGAAGAAAGCTGATGGTGACTGGCTATCAAAAGATATAGTGTCTGGGGTCTTAAAGGGTTGAAGATAAACAAGTGGCCATCTAGCTCAGAAGCAATAAAGCCCACATGGAAAAAGCACACCAGCCTGTGTGATCATGAGGTGTCGATGGGATCAGGTATCGGGCATCAAAGACCCAGAGCAAAAAACCATAATGTGAATGAGGTGGGGAGGTGGAGTGGAGGCCCATAGCCTAAGCAATTGGACATCCCCTTACAGAAGGGTCGTGGGGAGGAGACGAGCCAGTTAGGGTGCACCAATGAAACATACAGCTTTATTCTGGTTCTTTAATGCTTCCACTCCCCCACTATCATGACCCCAATTCTACCTTACAAATCTGGTTAGACCAGAGCATGTACATGGGTACAGATAAGAGCTGGAAAAACAGGGAATACAGAACAGATAAACTCCTCGGGACCAATATTGAGAGTAGCCATCCCAGGAAGGTAAGGGAAAGGTAAGGGAAAGAAAAGGGGAACCGATCACTATGATCTACTTATAACCCCCTCCCAGCGGGGTGGACAGTAGACAAGGGGATAATAAAATTTTTTAAAGAAAGAAAGATTCTATGAGCAAAATATTTTTAAATGGGTTTATTGATATACAGTTTATGTATCATACACTTCCATAATTAAATCACTTTTTTAAAGAGTTGTATATACATCATCACAATCAGTTCTAGTGTTTCCTACCCCTCCCTCATTCATTGTTTGCCCCCCAAATCTCCTCACCCTCTCCACCCCATCCCTGATAAAACCATTGCATCAGTTACTGTCTCTATGAATCCACTCCTCTGTGCTTCATAAACTGGGAAACCTAACAGAAATTTTTAAAGAAAAAAATAATAATATCAAGATAAAAATAAAGAGTAAGAAAGAAAAGACCATAAGCAACATTTAAAAAGCAAGAGAAGAAATTCTTTCGTGGAACAAAGGAGAAATCTTTAAGCCTAGAGTAAATTCAGTTTGGGTCAAGAGGGAGGCCAAATGACCAAATATCATATTATATCATAGTTCGAGCCACCTTAATCAAGCTTACAAGAATCTCTGTCTGACTCTAAAGCTGTTAGAGTTCCCACCTGTGACCAGAGGGGACCGGCCAGAGACTTAATATGACTAGATAATCTGTAATGGATTGGGGGCTCGTACTGTGCTCCATAACCTTCTACAAGTTGGGTGTTCACAATTTTAAGTTCTGCAACTTTTCCCTTCATCATATGTGGATTTTGTTATCATCATCCTTGGATAAGACAGGCTGGCATGCTTCTTTGAAGTAGACTTAGTTGATGCCTCACTTTGATGTCTGCTTGTCTGAATATAAGCCTTAAAGACCCCCAACACTATTCCAATTGAGAGCTGGCACATCTGCTTTCTTCACCACACTTCGCTGTAGCACCCTTATCTTCAGTGATCCCTTTATGAATTAAGTGAGAGCCCAGGGTCATCTGATTGTCCACAGGTTATGAACAACTTTGGTTTATGTTAGTGGCCATATTCTAACATAAAAGAAAGAAAAACATTATCATTCACCCCCATAAGGATATTGCATTGATAACATCAATAATTTATCCAGTGGCGCAGAATTCAAAGTACTGTTGAGATGAAGAGTTTATGCAAGTTTAGTCCAACTGTGAGCTGTAATATATGAGTATTGCTTTTTTCAGATGGATTTCTCAATTGATTAAGCTCTGTTTACATTGAGCATGGGGGTTGGTGCTGGGGAAATTTTTCCTGTAGCATTCCTTACAAGGACAAGTCCTTGCCTATCAGAATAATAACCTGTCATATTAATGCAAGGGGAGGATTGAGATACTAAATATATGGTGGTTCTGAGTTCCATTTCATTGGACACCTACTAAGACAGATGTCCTACCCAAGGTCCAGTGGTCACCATTTCCACAGTCATGGAGTGGCCATCCTTTTAGTCCTCTCCCTTTAGGGAAATTTTGTCCGAAGTCCAAAGGCTACAGGCAGTCTTGAAGGAGGGCTCAGTTCAGTCAGGCTTCCACATCAAGTCTTTCTGGCATGGCCTTTGGCGGATGGGGCAAAATATTGAATGATGAAGGAAGCATCAGAGAAGATGGAAAGAATACAGAGTCACTGGACCAAAAAAAAACCATCAACATTCAACACCTTTTCAAGACAGAAAGCATATGAACAAGAACCAATGACATGCAGGAAGAAATCCAAGCTACAGAAGACATGAGGCAAAAACCAGGCTCTGGGAATTGATGAAATGCCAATTGAAATGTTTCAAAAAGCTGATGAAACACTAGAAGCTCTCACTTTTCTATGCCAGGAAATCTAGATGACAACTACTTGGTCAACTGACTGCAGAGATCCTTATTTGTACCCAATTCAATGCAGAGTGACCCAACAGAATTCTAAAATTATAGAACAATGTCATTGATATCACATGGAAGTAAAATTTTGCTGAAGATCATCCAACAACAGTTGCAGTAGTACATTGACAGGGAGCTACCAGAGCTTCAGGCTGGATTCAAAAGAGGACATGGAACACGGGATATCAATGCTAATGTCAGATGGATCTTGGCTGAAAGCAGAGATTACCAGAAAGATGTTTATTTGTGTTTTGTTGGCTATGCAAAAGCATTTGACAGTGTGGATGATAACAAACTATGGATAGCCTTGAGAAGAGTGGGAATTCCAAGACTTAATTGTGTTCATGCAGAACTTGTATGTGGATCAAAAACTTATTGTGTGTACCAAACAAGGGTACATTCATGGTTGAAAATCAGGAAAGGTGTATTTCAGGGTTGTATCCTATCACCATATTTATTCAAATTGTATGCTAGACAAATAATCAGAAAATCTGGATTATATACAGAAGAGTGAGGCATCAGGGTTGGAGGAAGGTTTATTCACAATTTGTGATACTCAGATGACACACCCTTACTGATGAAGATCAAGGATTACAGCATCACTATGAATTACAACTCAATGTAAAGAAAACCAAAACCCCCACACCTAGACAAGTAGGTAACATCATGATAAACGAAGAAAAGATGGAAGCTATCAAGGATTTGGATCCACAACCGAAGTTCATGGAAATAGCAATCAAGAGATTAAATGACAGATGACATTGGGTAAATATTATGCACAAGACCTCTTTAATGTTTTTCTGTATATGAATTCCAGGATAGGTAAATTTACAGCAACAGTAGCTTGAATAATTTTGGGGGGTTATGGCAGGGGAGGTTGGGGGCAAGTGAGTAGCTAATAACGATGTTACAAGGATGAAGAAAATATTCTAAAACTGATTGCAGTGACAATTGTACAACTCTTTTTTATCTGATTAAGCTATTGAATGCATGATATGTGAATTATATGCCAATAAAACTGTTGGAAAAATAATAATAAAGTGTTGAAAAGCAAGGATATTACTTTGAAGACTAAGGTGCACCTGACCCAAGCATGGTATTTTCAACTGGGTCATATGCATGTGAATGTTGGACATTAAATAAGGAAGACTGAGGAATTAATAAGTTTGAATTATGTTGCTGGAGAAGAATATTGAAGGTACCATGGACTACCAAAAGAAGAAATAAATCTGTCTTGGCATAAATACAGCCAGAATATTCCTAAGAAGCAAGGATGGCGAGACATCATCTCATGTGCTTTGGACATGTTGTCAGGAAAGGCCAATCCCTGAGAAGGACATCATGCTTGGGAGAGAAAAAGAGAATACCCCTGGACCAGATGGATTTATGCAGGGGCTGCAACATAACAATTGTGAGGACAGCACAGGACGGAGCAGTGTTTTGCTTTGTTGTACAAAGGCTTCCTATGAGTTGGAACCAACTCAACAGCACCTAGCTTTAGCCTAATTGTGGAAAAGAGTATACTGTGATGGAATTCACTTACAAATTAGAGGAATTTTGTTAATAAGGACTTTCTACCCTCACATAACCTTACTTCTTTGCCCCCTCCAAAGGATATTAGCTGAAAGTACAGACCTTTAAGGAAATTGAGAGCTTATACAAAAAATTAAAAGAGTTAGCCATCTGGATTTCTATAAATAAGTTAATTTGTCATGAAATTCAAATTTTAGGGTTTGGAAATATTCCAACGGAAGTTGTTTTATTTTATTTGTTAAGCTTCACTGACCAAGAAGAATCAAGGAAGCTATGGGCCCCAGAAGTAAATAAAAGGCTCTGTATTCCATTATTCCTCACCACTCACCTCTCCACTGGGCATTCAATAATGAGATTCCATTTCCTTTTTTCTGTTCTACTCCTCTTTGAGACTATAATACCAAAAGGTAAGATGATGAATTATTACAGGGACCGGTGTCTTAGAAGGCCAACTAGACTGTTCAGTTATACTGTACAGTAGCCATCCAACCTGGAGACCAATGATCAGCCTTGTGGGTTAATAAATTCAACATTATCATCATCTCTCTTAGAACTGATGAGGCCAAAATTGAGAATCAGAACAAACAATGTTGTCTTCAGAATATAAAATACAAGATTTTCATGATTAGAAAACAAGACCCAGTTGGCAAGATAGTGGATAGTGGAGCTTTAATGTGTATCTTAAGCAAGTAGGGGTCTACTCTATAAAAGGAAGAGTGGAGATGGCGGTAAAAAAATCGCTGTCCATAGGTTCAGAGCTGGTTAGTGAATGGAGGTGATACAGAGTCTATTAATGAAGAATATCTGTGAAAGCTTGCTTTCTTAGGCAAATGAAACAGAGTTCACAAGAAAGGAATTTATCAAGCTCTAATACAGCAGTTCTCAACCTGTGGGTCGCGACCCCTTTGGAGGTCGAACGAGCCTTTCACAGGGGTTGCCTGATTCATAACAGTAGCAAAATTACAGTTATGAAGTAGCAACGAAAAAAATTTTATGGTTGGGGGTGGGTCAACACAGCATGAGGAACTGTGTGAAAGGGTCATGGCATTAGGAAGGTTGAGAACCACTGCTCTAAAAGAACAGTATATACTGGTAGCTGGGTTCAGGGGAATTTGGGGAAAACAAAATCAATGGAATGACGTTTCAATGGCAAAATTTTAAGCATAAGGCAGGAAAAAGCTGCTTAAGAATCTGAGTTGTGTGCCTTAGTGCCCATGACTTAGAAGTCTGATACCAAAACATAGTAACAAATGGAAAAGAGGAGGAGTCGGGGAGGAGAAGGGGAATGCCGTGATCTTCAAGCTACTTCATCCAGATTCTCCTAAGAACTGAACCCTCAAAATATTTATCTGTCGTCCTTGAATACATAGGTTAAGTTTGAATAACTAACATTCCACCTTTAGTTATCTCTGAGATTCTGCTAAATATAATCAGATCTACATCCCTGTTTTATCTTTGCCTAGTCCATAGGCATTTGGGGATCTATCTGACATTGTTGTCTTCCCCTACAGGAGTTTAAGTATTTCTTTTTAAATTTTAAACCTGTATCCGAAGACACAGCTAAAGTGAGGCACACTTTTACAGCAAACGCACATGTAAATTTGTAGTTTCTTAATAATAATTTAATGATCAGCCTTTCACTTTACAAATAAGAGATCAATTGTCAACATAAAGAATATGATTTTTCCAAGGTCACACTGGTAGTAGCAACACAGAGCTAACACCAAGGATCTTGACATCTGTGTTAATATTGATTTCATCAATCCCCAAGCATGGTTGTGTGCATGAAAAAGATAACTCTGATTTACGTCAGACTTCCTGCCTCCAAATATTCTAATTAGTTACTGAGGAAACTAAGGCATATTTCAGGTTATCTATTTTGGATGCCTTTGAACACCCAATTTTTTACCTTCAAATTCTTCAGTGTTTGTGGTAGGCATGTCAGATATTCTTAATGTTCTAGCATTATTATTGATCTATAGCCTCCTGATTTGTGGTTCCTAAAATTAAATAAATGACTCAAATCTCAAGTAGCTGGAAACACTTTCTCTGAGATATTTATGTGTGCAAAGTTGATGAGTGAGTATCCTCTTTGCTCATATTTGTTCTCAAACAGCAAGACTGAATTCATTTCAACAGAAAGGACTGTTTAAATCTAATGTTATGAGCTGGGCTTTTTTTAAAAAGGTGAAGGATGGTTGAAACTTTTGGAAATGCAATTTTGGCGACAGCAACACCCAAAACAAAAGAAAAAAATCCTACAATATAGAGATTTAAAAATACCGAAGGTAATGTTTCAGTCTAAAAGTGTAAATTAAATTGGTAAGAGGGGTAACTATTGTAAAAGCCTGAAAGAAGTTATGGGAAATATGATGAGAAGAAATATTGGCATAGGAGTTACAAAATTTAATATATTAATGGTAAGATCAAACAATCACAGATATAATAATACATCTAAGAGTAAGGATCAGAAAGTCAAAAACAAGATACAGCCAAGATGTAAAAGAACTAAGAATCAAAAGATTGTCCAATGTCTGATTCTTTTCTTCAGAAATTGTTTCCAGTTTACCTTTATTTCCAATCACATCTTCTATTGATTTTTACCACATAGCCTTAAATATTGCAAGAACCCAATGCTGTTGGGTTTATTCAGACTGATAACCACCCTAAAGATAACCACCACAAGGGTTGCGAAGCTGTGATCCTTCACAGAATTAGACTGCCTGATTTTTCTCCTACAGTGTGGCTTAACACACTGCACCACCAGGGATTCTCACACATGCACACAGATATGTCCACACTCACCTGCACATTGTGTCTGAAAGCATCCTTACATACTCTGAGAGTTAGAAGCATTATACTGAGAGAATATTCCTTATAAATTACAACATCTCTATTCCACTGTCTTGAGTTGGCTATTTATGTTGCCATACAATGATTATCATTGAGACAGAGATAAAGCTAAAATAGTTAATGCTCATTAAAATGAAATCTGAAATCTCCAATCATTACATGATCAAATAAAAATATACATATATAATATAAAAATATACTTGACCTGCTAGTTAGTTCCTCTATAATTTTTGCTAATTCTTTTCTTTCAAAACCATTGCACTGGCTGAAACACACACTTGTCTATCAAACATAGCTCCCTCTGCCTTGCTCTCTACTCAACAATTCACTGCCATTGAGCCAGTACTGACTCACAGCGACCCCCTGTGGGTTTCTGAGACTTTAACTGTTTACAGGAGTAGAAAGCCTAGTCTTTCTCCTGCAGAGCTGCTGGTGATTTTGAAATGCTGGCCATGCAGATCGCAGCCCAATATATAACTACTACACCACCAGAACTCTATTCTCAGGTCAACGCAAAGTCCAGGAGCAGCTTTCCCATCGCGTTCTGCAACCATGGTGTTCACCTTTACATTGCCCTAGTCAGCACCCCTAGCCCAGCTCATTCCTTTATCATTTACTCCCTTTCTCTCTGTACCAAGGTTCCGAGGTGCTGAAGGTCAATGTGTTAAATTTAAATGTACCCCTTTTGTCACTAGTCTGTCTCTCTTTGTCTACATTATTTTTGGATAGCTTGTGAGTAAAAACTTTGAACCTGGAAGCTTTTTGACATTGAGAGTAGGTAGGACGTGAGGAATTGTTGTGACATTGGAGGGATAAAATTAATGAGTACCTAGAACTCTTACAGAAAAGTGTTAACTAGAGAAGAGTGTGGTGAGTGCATAAAGAGGCTGCTGTAGGATCCCATGATGTTTGATCCTTAGGAAAGAATGCCTAGTGTGGGTGCATATATGTTAGGGAGTGGGGGGGAGGTCAATAAATAGTTAACCATATTCAACAGTATATTGTTAAGTATCTAATTTTTATAAAGACTGTTAGATACATTTATACATTTGGAAATAAAAGAGTGTTCCCTCTCTATGTGGAGAGAATTCTTATTCTGTAATATTATGTTAAAATAATCTTTAATTACTAATCAAATGATTACACAAATTGATATATTATTTTAACTTCTAATAAGTACGATGAAGAAGAGGCTGGAAGACAATATAATTTCACGTGCAAGTAAAATTTTGCTGAAGATTATTCAACAATGATTGAAGAAATTCATTGACAGGGAGAGGCCAGAAATTCAGGGCAGATTCAGAAGAGGATGTGGAATAGGGATATCATTGGTGGGTCTTTTTTTTTTTTTTTCATTGGTGGGTCTTGACTGAAAGCAGAGAATACCAGAAAGATGTTTATCTGTGTCTCATTGACTATGCATAGTGTGGATCCCAGCTCAACTATGGATAACTATGGGAAATAATTGTGCTCTTGCAGAACCTGTACATAGACCAAGAGTCCGTCATTTAAACAAAGCAAGAGGATAAGATAAAGCTTTATACTCTAATAAATATTTACAGCTTTGGAAACCCACAAGGGTTATTCTAGCCTATCCTATAGGGTTACTATGAGTCAGAATTGACATGACTATCGGGGAGTCACTTGACACACACACCAACCTCTCCCCAGGCTTTGGGGTTACCCCCATCTTATTGTCAATCCTAGTTGCTATGGGGGGATCATGAGGGAGACTAGCAGGGCCTCCTTGAGAACCCTGTCTTAGCACCCTGCAAAGAGAGGCTCAGCCCGAGCTGCCTCTTCCCCTTGTCCTGCCCCACATCCAGCAGGGGAGCAGGACCTTAGAAGCCCGGCAGAGCCAGGGGGCTGTGGGGGCTGTGAGCCTGAGTCAGGGGAAGCGCTGGCCTGGAACTGACGCCAAAGGACACCGCAGCCTGGCGTGATGGGTGCTGCCCACTTGTCCCAGGCTGCCATCTAGCAGGTTGGAGCCCAAGTTTCTGGAAGCCACTGTCTCAACCTGGGCACAGGCAGTAGGGACCTTGCTTCTCTGGAGGCCCAGCTTGGCTCTTGAGAGGAGTGTGTGGCCTGCCCTCAGCCAGGCCGCCCAAATCACTACTTCTTGCTTGGCATGAAACAGACCAACCACCCCACCCCCATCTGAGAGGAGGATAACACTGCTGCCCTGTCTTCCCTCCTGGTGGCTTTGGTGCCACATCACAGCTACACAAGGGCCTTGGGTGCAGTCACAGTGCACTAGACTTAAGTCTTCTTGTCTTAATCAAGAAGGTTCCTCCAAGCCCCAGCTGTGACTCCCAACTGCTCAGGGCACTGTCGGCGAAAGGCTGGGTCTGGCGGGAAGATGAGGGCCAACCCTATTGCCTCATAGTGCTCAGCCTGGCTACTACTATAGGGTGAGGGACTCCAGGCTCAACAAACCAAGAGGAAAGTAGAGCTGCCCACTGACAAGCTAGGGAGGAACAAGTGGCTTCTCTGGGCTCAGTTGGAGCAGCAAGCCAGGACACCCAGATCCTCTCCACCCCTTCCTGGACATCTTTATCCCGAATCTAGATGGCCAAGACCTCCCAGGCAGGTTGCCCTGCTCCCATTAGGAAAGTCCAAAGGTGATTCAATTTCAGTGCTGAAGGAGTAAACCCCAAGGCTTCCCTGCAATGCTGGGGAACTACCCTTCCAGCAAGCTTTAGACATTCAGATGGAGTGTGTCCCTGTCAGTGGGCAGTCACTGCTCTGGCAAACAGCTGTGCTGGAGAGCCCGCGGCTCTGCTGGCCTTGTGCTGCATGTGAAATAAGCTGTGTCCCCCTCTGCACATTCCTGCTGCAGGCACCCCATGCCCCCTCCCTGCAGGCAGGGCCAGTGCTACCCGTGGTTCCCAGTGGGCAGGGTGTGGGGCTATGCTGGAGTTGCAGGAGTGTTTTTCATTAAAAAGGGGTGGGGGTAGTTTAGTTTTGTTTTTATGCCTTACCCAATAAAGGACAAAGACACACCTCCCCAGTTATGGTGACAAAAAATAAACCCCTCATTTCCAAAGGTAAGAAAAACCTCCATCAAGTGCCCTAGAAGTCAACAAGGCCTTGCAATTTGTGTATAGCCCCAACTGTTTAACAACAAAAAAGCACTTCTTCTGCCTGAGTGTCTGATCATTTTATTTATCAATCATCTCTTCTATCCCAAAATCATCTTCTGAAATGATTTTGTTGCTCTATGTACATTTCCAATAGTTTGATAGTAGATTAATGATGTCAAATCTCTTCCTGTGCAGCAAAGACTGGCGTTATTCCAGGGAAAAAACAATGTGTTCTTTTGAAAGGGGTGTGCAAAGACAAAGGATGCTCCTCCTTAGATGATACCATCGGGGTGTGTAATCATGAAAAAAAATGCTGCAGGAAGTGGTGGATATTGGAACCCTATGCAACGCCAATTCCCAGAGCAAAATCTCCTTAAATGGGAGCAAACTGTAGGCTCTTGAATTCCAGAACTCATGGATGCATTTTGAAGACTCCTATTTAACCCTGTTTCCCTTGACTTGAAATAAATGCTGTCATCATTGTACCTAAACTTATCCTCAGGGCACTTTTTAATGCACATGAAGGATTCTTAAGAATGATAAAACAAACAAAACAACAGAAGAACCTCAGACTCTAAAATTTTATGCAAAACATGAGGTGAAGATAAAAATTATGGTTGTGCCAAATAGTAAGGGTATAAATAGCAATAGGTAGTGTTCAATTACTTGAAGTAGAATAGCAACCCTTTTTCGTAGTCGTAGTTAATTACTAAATATTACTTTCACTATAAATATGGATACAGATTAGAGAATATGTAGTGATGATGCAGGTAAAGCTGCACCTGAGAATTAGGTGAATTATCCACCGAGACCCACCAACACTGAATAGGCCAGGTCTCCATTCACATCCCATCCTATTGCCCCATTACTCTACTCCCTGCACTCTTCTACTGGAGATGTGTAGTAAAATACCTAGGTCCTTTACATAAACTTACTCCCAAGAGAGGGGGGAAAGACAGTGGTAATGAGAACTGAGCATTCACTGGTAATTATTCCCATATAATTTCATTTTCTGGAGCTTAGAAAATTCAAGTGTCAGAAAGAGGCCTGGAGTGTTACATGGTATGACAATTGCTAAAATGGCAAGAATCTTCTAGAATAAAAACATGTGCCACAAACAAAATTCACGTTTTTGTTTTCTTACCCATAACATCTATACTAATCAATCAGGGGATATGGGCTGTGGGGCCTAAGAGTCTATTAATATAACAACCATGCCACCTTCACTGAGCTGTTTCCTTAATATAAGGATTGCTCTTTCTAGTATAGGAGGTACCCCCCCCCAAAAAAAAAAAAAAGGAATTCCACTGGACAGATGGGAGCTGTGCTAATATGCATTTTTCTTGCCAGGAAAGCATCCAGCAACTCACTCTGTGTTAGTGTACCCAGTGGCATCACCTGGGAAGGTTCTCTCTGGTCACAGTGAATTTTTTTTTTGTAAAAGCAGTTTCACTTGAACCTCATCTTTTGTGATTGTTGATTTAAGAGAACAGTGTGGAGCTGTGAAATTTTGTTTCCTGCTCAGAGAAAAGTGCTGCACAAACTATTGTGATATTGAACACAGTTTACAAGGACAACGCTATGAGAAAAGCTCAAATATGAGTGGATTTCTTTTTTTTCTTTTTCCTTTTTCTTTTTTTTTTTTTTGAGAGGTTTCCTTGTTTCACAAAAGGCGAAAGGTTGATTGATTACAAACCTCGTTCTGGATGTCTGTCAACTTCCTGAATGGACAAAACAGACTAAAATGTTGACTCATAGTGCATTTGGAGTTCATTCCACCAGGAATGTTAATCAAGCTTTCTATTTAGAAGTTCTGAAAAGATTGCATAGCACGGTGTGACAAAAAAGGCCTGATTTGTGGCAGATAGGGGACTGGTTTTCCCACCACGACAATGCACCTGCTCACGCAGCCATCTCAGTACACCAGTTTTTGACCAAAAAAACCCAGCATGTCTCTCTTACCCCATGCACCTTACTCACCTGAATATGCTCCGTGCAACTTCTTTTTGTTTCCACGAATGAAGAGGGGCATGAAAGGACATGATTTGATGAGGTGAAGAAAATAACGAGGAAGTGCTGTCAGCCATCCAAACAGATGAGCTTGAAAAATTGTTTCCAAAAATGCAATCACAGATTTTACAAATGTATTAAGTGTAATGGAGAGTACTTTGAAAGCGATAAGATTGTTTTATTTTTAAAAACTTAAATACATAGCTTTGGAAGAAAAAAAATCCCGGTGTTTTTTGGTGGGGGAGTACCCCCTCATATGTACATAGAACAAATTGTGATCATCTTAGAATTAGGTCTCAGTATAATATAGTAAATAAAGCTCCTCCAGAGAAGAACAGTCACACCTTTTTCATTAAATGTGTCACTACATTGTCCAACACAGCATTTCAGAAATGTCCCAATAACTGCATGACAATATTAACATACTTGAATTAAAGGAATAAATTTATTGCAATAATAAAATGCTAATAAAGGAAAGATAAATACATTTAAGTTTAAACTAAAAATGTGGCTAAGGGTCCAAAGTTTTTACAATGAATATAAAATATATATAAGAAAAAATCCATCTCTTATTCTCCATTTCAGAGTCTTGAAGGACTTTTGAAGTTATATTAATTCAATAACAAGCCTCCCATGATCCTAATATTTAAAATCTCCTAACAAAAAGAACAAACAAGCCGGTCAAGGGAAAATGGCGACTCGATAGGACTCACCCATCCAGAGCTCCTGCTGTCAGACCAGAAAATTGGGAGGTAAGGTGAAGCAAACGGGGAGGTGGAGTCCTGAAATTAGAAATAGGATACTAGGGTCAATCCTGAGCCCCTTTTTAACGTGTGATTTCGACTCACAAAGCAAACCAAGAACGCTCTAAAGTGTTCTAGCTTTGACGAGCCCATGGGCGCCAGCTGACAAGCTCCTCCCGTCCTTGCCGGGAGCAGCGACTTCTCCAGACTGACGCCCTAAAGGGGACAGAATCCCAGACACGAGGAGACCCCCACACCAGAGCTCTCCATACCAGAGCTCTCCATACTGTTGGCTGTCTTGAGCTCACAGCCTGGGGAGTGGAGGTAGCAGGTAGCCATAATTTGGAGTAGAAGATTTTTACCTGAGGCAGATCACGGTGTGGGAGAATATAGGCAGATGGTCGGAGTGCAAGGAGCGAATTTAGTTCCAATTGGCCAAGAAGGAAACAACCCCCCTGATAAGCTGGATCTCCCCCTCTGGGGATCAACATGACAGCCCCCAAATCAGAGCACAGCACAAGCATAATATAAAAAAGAGTGAAATATATATTACTGGTAAAAACTCAAACCCCAGCCTTGTTGCTTAGCTCCAAGAAGCACATGGACAGGGGCCCTTAACATAAGTAGAAGCCTGGCTAAGGAATACCAGAACTCAGCCACAGGGTCTGGAGGCTTTTTACATAACAAAGACCCTTTGTAGCAAGTCTCAGCTTTTCACAGAGCACAGAGCACAGAGCTGCAGCCCGGAGACTGAGGGAGACAATTTAATTTGATTCTATTGCAGCTGGCCAGGGGGATAAAAAATAAAATCCTCTGATCTAGTAGGGCACCAGCAGTCTAGATAGAACAATAAGCCCAGCTTCCCTCTCAGTGATTCTGCACACAGCTGGGGAGGTCCTGCCTGTCCTGGGGCCCTAGACAGTGCTGTGTGAACACCCCGCACCCCGCCTCTACTGCAGTGCTACACAAAGCACAAGGCAGGTATACCAGTGAACTCCAGTGCTCGGTAATGTAGTGGGAACTGATGCCTGGCTATGGGTGTGATCTTGCCTTTGAAAGTAATCCCATACTGAATCTGTGAAACCCTACATCAAATGGGTACCCACCCCGGTGCCTTGAGGAAGAGTTGGAACTCCTCCAGCCTCATGAACAGGTGATCAAGTCTCAGTTATCGTCTTACTTACCACTCTATTTCTTCTCTCTTTATTCACTAGCCCTTCTATCTTTCCCACCACAGTCAGTCTCAAGGAGCTCCGGTTTGTGTTGGGTTTTATTTTTCTTTCTATATTCTTCTTCCCTATTTTTTTCATTTTTTTTCTTTTCCCCTCTTTGTCCTCTTCTCTCCCAATCTTTCCTATCATACGCCACTACTGGCTTCCAGGTCACTACCTTCCGCTTAGGGCAAATCAACACAAATAGCAGGGGGAAATCCTGTCTACCTTCCATGGGATTGCTGTACACCACACAAGGCAGCTTTGACAGCCATCTACACCGTGCTGCACTGCTGAGGAAACCTCGGTCGGACCACTAAGGTGACCTCGTCAACTAGGGCAATTCTGCCCAGCACCACTGGGTTCCTGAATTAAAAGGGCACAACAACCTGCCATTGTGGGGCAGGGGCTAAACCCCTCTGGCCCCATATTCAAACGTTCAGGGATCAGCTATCTCTTTATTCTTTATTTCTTGCTTCTCTTTCTCTTCGCACTTTACCATCACAACAAATGTTAGTAAACACAGTTGAATTTTCCCCTTTCTTTCTCTTTCTTCTCCTTTTCTTTCTTTCCTCTCTATTTCTTTGTTCTCTTCACTTCTCTCTCTGCTTGTATGAGTCTCTCTTCTCCCTCTACTTTCACACGCCACTGCTGGTGCCCAGACCCCTATCCTCTGCCAAGGGCAACTCTGCCCACCCAGTTGGCAGCCTGACCCCTAAGACAGTGCTGCACACAGCACAAGTCAGTGCTACACACCACACGGGGTCAGCTATCTCTTTATCCATTTTTTTAATTCTCTTTTTTTCTTTCTTTCTTTGTGTTTTTCTTTCACTTTTTCTTCTTTTCTCCTCTTCTCCTAGCTCATCTCTGTTTCCTACCACAGCCTCGGCAGATTCAGTTCTCCTTCTATGCTGTTTTCTTTTCTTTCTTTTTACTTTTTACTGTTTTCACTTTTGTTACTCTGTGCATCTTAGTTGTGTGTGTGAGTGGGTGTCAATTTACTTGGCATTGTTGCTCAAGTCTGTGTCTTCTTTCTCTCTTTTCCCCCTCCTTTCACACTCTTTCCTGTCACAAGCCACTAGTGGCCTCCAGGCCACTCCCCTCTGAATATGGCAACTCTGAAGGCCCAACTGGGGGAGGTCCTACCCACATTTATGGGCTTTGCAAACAACTGGGGAAATCACACCGGTCCTCTCCCATACACCAAGCAGCAGTGGGTTCTCCCCTGGAAACAGTTGGGACATCCCCAGCAAAAACCAAAAGACCCTAAAAGTGACTTGAGGAAATGCCTGACCACCACTGGTCTGGCTCCATACTACTGCAGGAACATCTACCCAATCTCCAAGGCGATGTCTCTGTCTATGGTAATTCCCCTGCCATACAGAGTTCTACACCAAGTAGGGCATACACACA